TAAATAAATAAATATTTGTTAAAAGTTTATTTTTTCACAAAACTCCATCTGCAGCAACGAGGTTTGTCTTTTCTATGGGAAAATTTCTTATTTTGTTCAATTCTGTCTCCTGACTGGTGGGGCTACAGAAACAGAGCTAGACAGTAACTTGATTCCTGTCTGATCCCTTTGAAGCGAGCACACGTGCCTGCAATATCAGCTTGAAAGGCATTAGAGGGTGTTAACTACAGTTTACTTTCACTTGTAATTAACTATATCTGGCTGTACATTTTACTGTACTTGTCTAAACAGAAAGGAAAAAAAAGAGAAGAAAAAATAGCTAAAAGAGGCCCCTTGGAGCAGCTGCTAGAAGATAAAATAACTCCTTTAAGTCTACTCCAGTCAATGTTTGATGAACTAGGAGCTGGGTTTAAGTCCCTTGAAAAAAAGATAGAAGAAAAAGTGGGTAAGATGATTAACTTTGGAAAAAAAGTGGAGATTGAACTGAATGTGGAATTGGAGTTCAAAAAAATGTTGGATTATGAAGGTGATATGAATAAAGAAGTTGTGGATTTAAATGAGGACTTAAGATGGCCAAAGGATGATATGGAAAAAGGTGTTAGAATGGAATTACAAATGGAATCAATTGATGCTACAATGTTCAAAGGGGACATACAAATAATGGAGAAGAGTGATCTAGAAATGTTTTTTATTTTGGATTTGCAAAAGGAATGTATTGCATCAATGAGGCCATTCCTAGGAAGAGATGAAGAGAAAATATTGGAGATGCTTCTGGGAGAAGACAAGAAGATGATGGGGAACCAACTGGTGGGACATTATAAGAAAGGATTAAAGTTTAAACTTTTTAAAAGTAAACAGAAGGTTTACAAAGTATGTTGAGGCTCTCGGTAGTTATTAATGGGATTTATTTTTATCACCAGGACTAAATGACAGTGGTTTAAGGATTTTGGTATAAAGTCCACTAAGGTTAGGATATATTTGTTATTAAATGTATGGAATTTTTGTTCTTATGTATGACAATAGTAGTAAGGTTTTTATAAAGGTGGAAGGATAAGTTATTATAATTTTATTTTTTATATATGATAATAGCAGCAAGGTGTTTAAATGCATAGAGGTGGAAAGAAAAGGTATTATCTATAGTGAAACAATGGTTTGTGAGGTTGATGGAGTTGGCCGAAATGGCAAAATTGATAGTTTTGATTTGAGATAAAACATTGGGTAATTTTAGTGTTAACTGGATTTTTTTTTTAACTTTTTGTGGGATATACAAAAATGAAATTATGTTGTATAGGTTTGATTATTAGGGTTAGGGTTATAATATGGGTTAATAGAAATAATGGAAGTTATGTAGTAAATTTAGAGCAAGAGTTTGATGTATATTGCTACTTATATCTGTTAATGCAAAAGTGCAGAAAAGAAAAAGAAAAAATGCAAAAGTGCAGAAAAGAAAAAGAAAAATAGAAATAATGGAAGTTATGTAGTAAATTTAGAGCAAGAGTTTGATGTATATTGCTACTTATATCTGTTGTGGGGTGGGTTGGAAGTCAATTCGTCCTTGCTTTTCTTTTTCTTTTCTGCACTTTTGCATTTTACTATATTTTCTTTTTTCAATTTTTTTTCTTTTTTTTCTATTCTTAATATTAGTTTTGGTTAGTTTTTATTATTTTTTTTTAATTAATAAAATCATTATAAAAAAAAGAAGTGATATGAAGGAACTGCCTGGAAAAAGCAGCCTAGGAATCTCCAGCTGTATAGAGTCAGACCATGATCCACTGAAGAGCCTCCTGGAAAAAGCTAGCTTTCACTCACTGCCAAATTCAAGCTGGAATGAAACTGTGCTTGAAGGGAACTTGGTAGAATAACAAGGAGGATATCATTGAGGAATCATGGATGAATAGCTAGTTCCCGGCATCCAGTAGATATTCAGTAGCTGAAGAATCACAAGGAGGCTCAGCAGCAGCGTTTGGAATGGGTGGGTGGGCAATTACCTCTGGCTGGAAGCCGGCTTTTGCCTGTTGCTTCTGGCCATGCCCCTTGGCTCCCTTCTGCCCCACCTGCTTGATCCTGGCTGACTTGTGGCTGCGGCCACCGAAGACGTTCCTCCTCCTCCTCCTCCTCCTCCTGACCTTCCTGCCCGCTGCTACTGCCCCCTTCGCATCTGGGCTGCTCCACTCTTCAGAAAGCAGCTGCTTCTAGGGAAGGGAAGGGAAGATAAGAGGAATTGATGAAGAGGAACAAGCTGTGGTGGTGGCAAGCAGCAGCCGTAGACAAAGGAGCCCCATGACCAGAGCAAGCAGTGCCCTAGAATGGCCCAAATCTTCCTGAAACACAGCCCCACCACGAAACCTGCCACTTCCTTGTTCTGCTCCAAAGCGGCACAACATTTTCCTTCAAGCACATACAAGACACCACAAAACAGCACAAGGTGTGAGAAAGCAAATCTTTTCCACACCATCCTCCTGCCCCACAAAAGAAACAGCAAGACACAGATAGGGGCACAGCTAGGACCAAATGGAGGTTTGAAGATCAAGATGGGAATGTTAGGGCAAGTAGGGTACATAAGAAAGCTAAAGGCAAAACGGCCGGATTCTAAAGCTGGTATACCCAAATATCTAACCTTGGGACACTGAAACCACATTTTTTACTAAAAGGCCCAGAAAAAAAAACCTGTCATTGTCAGAACAGAAATTGCTTTACCTTGCTCAAACAATAGCCGTTCACCATATTGCTCAGTCCATATTTCTCTGCTCTCAACTGGATTACCATAATTTTTCTTAGACAAAACATCTATTTCTAGAAGAAAATCTTTCCAAAGAGTCACAACACACACTCCGTGAAGCAAATTATATGCAAGCTTTTTAATTAGTAAGGTGTATGCCAGATCAAAGATATGGCATAGAGGTTCTCAGTTTCTGCTGCTACAGATTAGGATAAGAACTCCATAATGAAGGATATGAACAATAAAAGACTAGTTTTGTTTTTATACAAAGGCCAGAAGTAGTCTTCCAAGGGTGGGTTTGTTTTTTTTTTTGCAACTCTTTGTCTTTTCCCACAGTATGCACATTCCTTTCTTCCAATACAAATTCATCTGTCTTCCAAAGAATTTTTTAATATTTTACTTCAGATTGGAGGGGAGCAAGTTTCCCAAAACATCATCATCTTTTAAAGGTAGCAGCACCAGGGGAAAGAGTTCTTCTCTTCTACTTACTAGTTCCTAACGAGTTGTCTTCATCTGTGATGAAATCACAGTTCACATATACTAGACAAACTCTTTCAAGCCCCATTCATAATTCTAATATGGAGCTGAGTAAGAGAAATGTTCCCAGGAAAGTTTGGCTAAGATCTGAGGCTGGGTCTTAGCACTAACAGAAATCTGTGTAACTGCTATTTTACCCTGTTACACTCTGGCTTTCTGATTTCAAGTCATTAAAGCTATATGATCAGTCTGCTCAAAAAACATACAAATCCTATGTGGTCTAATTAGGTCAAAACAGAATCAAGAGAGCAAATTCTAACTGCTGGCTCTTCCTTGGTTCTTATAACTTTCAAACTCTGCAGCTATTTAGCCCAGAGTTAAAGCCCACCATTGCAGCCAAATAAATGGGTGCTGAATTCATTTCTCCATCAGGAAGTAAAGAAACCCGGTGCTAACCTTGGTAGGCAGTAAAATCCTTGCTCAGAAAAAGAAGCTTCCAACTTTCTCTCAATCTAAATGTTGCCTACAGTCAGAAAGAAGTACTGAGCTGAAAGAACTGGTCAAGTTGGTTTCTTCAAAATATTTATGCCACGTAAAATAATGTTCCTTGGTTAGTCCTGTGAAGGTTTGACTATACAGTGGTACCTCGGGATACGAACTTAATCCGTTCCGTGACTCTGGGCGTATCCCGAGTTGGTCGTAACCCGAAAAATTCGCAAGCAGAGGCGTTCGTATCCCGAGGTACCACTGTATAGTCAAATCTGCTTGCGAATTTTTCGGGTTACGACCAACTCGGGATACGCCCAGAGTCACGGAACGGATTAAGTTCGTATCCCGAGGTACCACTGTATAGTCAAATCTGCTTGCGAATTTTTCGGGTTACGACCAACTCGGGATACGCCCAGAGTCACGGAACGGATTAAGTTCGTATCCCGAGGTACCACTGTATAGTCAAATCTGCTTGCGAATTTTTCGGGTTACGACCAACTCGGGATACGCCCAGAGTCACGGAACGGATTAAGTTCGTATCCCGAGGTACCACTGTATAGTCAAATCTGCTTGCGAATTTTTCGGGTTACGACCAACTCGGGATACGCCCAGAGTCACGGAACGGATTAAGTTCGTATCCCGAGGTACCACTGTATAGTCAAATGACAAGATCAGGCTGAATATTTTGCTCTGGAACTGGCAAGACCATAATACAGTGATACCTCGGGATACGAACTTAATCCGTTCCGTGACTCTGGGCGTATCCCGAGTTGGTCGTAACCCGAAAAATTCGCAAGCAGAGGCGTTCGTATCCCGAGGTATCACTGTATTATGGTCTTGCCAGTTCCAGAGCAAAATATTCAGCCTGATCTTGTCATCAACTAGAGATTAAAATACAGGAGAAAATAATCCAGACATGGTGAAATGAGGGAAAGAGATAATACAAGATTTATTAAATTCAACAACCAATGCAGAGACAGGGACATATTTTATTGTATGTTCAATGCCAGATTTAAGACACCTGGAACATGCAAGAGCAAATATGTCTTATAAAACAACAGATCAATTTGCACAAAGTCCTCTGAAGAAATCACACATGGCTGGGTTCATACAGCAACAAGCCATAAAATAACCAAATTATGGCACAGCACAATATGTTAATCCCATCAATTGTGTTTAATGAATGAAATTCATTAATATCTATGGCACTGACAACTGCTAACTTAAAATACTTTAGAAACCACTTGGACCAATAGTTCCTTATTCTGTTTTACTGAAAACAAACCTAACTTCCAAAAGAAATAAAACCTTTGAGACCAACGGTTCCCTACTCTGTTTTATTGAAAGCAAATTTAATTTCCAAAACAAATACAACCCTTTGAGACTTCCATTTATATCCTTCAACTGAAGAATGGAGCTTTGTCCTTCAAAAAGTAAACTCTGAATACAAACTGGAATGATCAGTTGCCACACAAATATTCCCTTTTCCTCTTTTAATGGACCACATCTTCTTAGTTGAGCAACCTATCACTGTCTTTGCTCTCCTTCCTCCCCTACAACATTTATCTAAACTTTACTAATTTATTTTTTAAAAGGCTGTATTCCTATAACTGAATAGGGAATGAAGTGTAAAAAAGACATTGGAATATAGATCATAGCTCCTGATTAATAATGAAGTTGGTACCCCACTGGACCAAAATACCTATCTGAACACAAAGCTGAATGACAAATAGAATTCCTGCTCTTCGAAACACACTGAACTAGGCAGTGCTTACTGACTGCAGAGTCTATTAACTTCAAACTTTCAATACTGAGTAGCAATAAAAGGAAAAGTGGACTCTCCAAAAGAGTCATTTTATGTATTCATTCAGTCCTACCATGCCAAATTAGCAGAGATTGTTTCAGCAGGATCTAAAAGTAGCCAAGCTGCCTTTATCCAAAAGAAAGATCCTAATCTTAACAAATCAAATCCAGAGAAGGGCAACCAAACTCAGAGAGTGTCTCCACCGGTGCATGAGACAGAGGGTTCGGAAGTAAAAACAACAATATCATCCAAAATAACGACGTTCCCTTACCGATCACTTTTTAAAAAATAGTAGTTTTATTAAAAATTACAAGTACAACAATAAAAATTAATACAAAAAAAAAGAAAAGAAAAAATAGAAGGTGCAGAAAAGAAAAAAATAGAAAGAAAAATAGAAAAGAAAGAAAAGGTAAGAACATAGTAAAAAAAAAAAAAAGAAGAAATATA